TATGAATTCCCGGCTACAAGGAAATCACCCACTGCTGACAGTACTAAAACTCCCAAGGGGTCTAGATGCTATTTGATATCCATCGTCCATGTCCAGCTCGCCGAGCCGGAACACCTTCACAGATTTTCTTCGTTAGAGACAAACCACGGTTTTTCATTGTGGATAGTGGCGTTCAAATCTGCAGTCGCATACGGCTCTCTAAGGACGAAAAAAAGCAAAAAAATCGTGGAGAACACTCTAAGGGCCCTTTGGCTGCTCCACTGTGTGAGATTCCCGGACCTGTTCCGTTTATGCCAGCAAAACGATGCCCTGCCATGTCGTCACCAATCGTTTCTTCACGTCATCCAATGCTAACACCATCAACCAGTAAAAAACACCAAAAACACGGTGTAAAAACTGAATTCGTGACAGAAACTAGCCTTTGAAATTTTTGTGGGCGGGGCAACAAGGGAGGTGTCAGAACTGCCACTTATGAAGGCCTCAGGGCCTACGTCGCTTACAGTGAAGCCGCGAAAACGCGATATGAGGACCAGACTACTTGTATAAGGAAGAACAGTAAGCCCATTAACTATTTCCCTATTAACTAAATACGATCTTCACCCTCCCGTTCAAGAGTTCTCAGAGCACTGCGTGCAGCAGCTGCTGCGTGCCGATGCCAGGTGTTACCCTCTCTGGGAGAGATTAGTTTGGAAAATTTTCTGAACTTTTCCTGGTTCTTGTTTCGCGTTTAAAGCTCCGTATTTATTATCGGCACTTGGACAGAACCAAGGAAAAGCCCAACGCGGTAATGGCCATCTTGTATGGGGACACATTCTTGAAATATGGCGTTCTCAGCTCACACGACATTCGTATTTTGACCTGACGGTCTCAGAATGACCTCCACACGATAGACTATGCCCCTGGGGTTCATTGCGCCAATATGTCTGCCGACTTGCCTTTCAAACGGACTAAACCCAAGAGGCGAAGGATGCCATTGCATGCATAAATCGCAATGCGAACGATGGCCTATTAATCAGGCACGCGGTGGGGAATGGAGAGCGCGTCAAATGTTCACCACAGTCTTTTCAATAATTCCAGAAGTTTCTTTCGAGACTTTTAGAGTTATACCAACACTTCTGTAATCTCGCCCACCTTTGAGGCCTTTCTAACAAGTTGGGCACCAGTGCATTGAATTCAATGCGCGTCTATCCTCTCCCGCTTTCCGCTTTCAAGACTCGCCTTTCACCCTATGTCTTTTGTGTCGCTTTTCCCTGGACAATCGCGCCTCTTGTTTCATTAGATTTACATTCTTTGAGGCTTAAAATAAGTTAGGTTCACTTCCTTGCACTCCTGATGTTCTATTTTCTGGGACATACAGAAGAGCTATTCCCAAAGATTAGGTGAGAGTTATGTAGATAAGGGCAGCTTTCATTGTTGATCTGCCTCGTTGAGTAAGGGGGGGGGGGGTATCTCGCTAAGAATTTTCATATTCACTGTGGATACGATCTCTCAGTGACTTGTCTGAAATGGAATAGGGATGCGTTAGGAGAACGACAAAGAAGTGAAGAGGGTAGAAACCTCCGGATTGTGCCGTTGATCCGCCTGCGGGTGGGCGAGTTCACGACTGAGACAGAGGAAGTTCGGGCGAGTTTACCGAGACTAGCGTCACGCTGACGCCCGCTTCAGTACAGACTGATAAGTAGGCTGGTAGAAACAGACACTACATTCCAGGGTACATCATCGTTGGGGATTCTCCATCAAGGGGAGGGTCTACTTTGCCGCGTTTTCCCGGGGTTTTTCTCTTTTCTCATGTGCTTCACACTTCCCCCCGCTAGACGATGAGGGAACCTATAGGAGGGGATCGTATGACTCGACCAAAATCTCCAACTCTGATGTGTCCTGTTACATTCCCTAAGAAGATTTTAGTAAGATAAATTGCCAATTAATAAACGACGCACTGTTCCGGTCATGCCACTCCATTCTTACCCCTGACCGACCACAGAGAATGAAAGAGTCGCTTAGCTCGGTGGGGGAGGGGGGATCCGATCCACTGTGGACCGTGTGCCAGTAGACCGGCTGTGTGTTTTTGTGACAAGCCCCTTCAGAATTGCTGCCTTAGTAAGGTGAAAAATGTTTTATGAGGTGAAAAATGTTCTATTCTAACACCATATTTCATCCACACAAAAAAAATTTCATAGCCTCTCATCATGGGAGCCAGGTGCATAAATGGCGTTGCTTCTGTTCTTTTATTAATGGCTAAATATGCGAGTGAGATATTGCATTCAAAGATTGACGATAGTGACGAGAGAAATGGGCTCGACAAAAAGGAAATGGCCTCAATATCGTCGGAGATTTGACAGGATTGTTGTCCTGAGATGAGGGATGCCCTTCAATCGCCGTTGCCAATGAAGTTTTCGTTTTTCAGTCAAACTTCGCCATGGGGCGAAGCACGGCGACCATGCGAAAGGTGTTCATGTTGGATTTTGGCTTGGCCAGGCAGTATCTGAACGCCAAGGGAGAGATCAGGAGCCCGCGAAGCGCTGCCGGTTTTCGTGGCACCGTGCGCTATGCTGCCGTGTCGGCTCATAAAAACAAGGTTCGTATAATATATAATCAATTTTTTTCTTTTACGAATTTATCGATCTATTTTTCCTACTTCTTCTTCCACCAAACTACGAAGAAATTTTGGGTGTGTGTTTATCTTTGGTGGTATCTGACGGCTCAAATGCCCTTGAAAAAACATCATGATTGCCTCAGTCTTCAGTATCGCTGCAGTACCTGGATATAAATTTCTCATATACACCGTCTTTTTGAGGTGGAAAAGGTCGAATTTAACGCTTGGCTTGATGAAGGCAAGTTGCTGGTGCCCATCGATCATTCCCAGTGCGTCCTATGGAGACCTCCAAACTCCTGCAAATCTATGCAATCAGGGGCACATCCTACATTGGGCATCATGAGCAGGTTGTCGTATCGACTCAAACCCTTCGCTAGCCCCCCTCCCCTCAGGCTGCGTTCACACTTTGGGCAGCGTCCACCAGTGACCAATAGCGTCTACCAGCGTTCCGAGCGTCCGGCAGCGTCAGCGATATGATAGTACAGTTATCGATCTAGCGTCCTCCTGCGTCTACCAACGTGCGCCAGCGACTCGAGGGCTGGGGAAGTATAGGTATCGATCTAGCGTCTGTCAGCGTGCACCAGCGTCTACCAGCGTCTAGGAGAGACAGTATGGCGCGTTAGGAGAGTAGCAGACAGCTGGTACCCTCCTATCGTGCCATACTCTCTACCAGCAGTCTGCCACCTCCTATCTCCCCATACTCTACCAGCTGTCTGCTACCCTCCTATCGCGTCATGCTCGCTTCTCCCGGACGCTGGTATCGCTGGTGCGGGCTGCCGCGAAAGTGTGAACACAGCCTCAAACGCCATTCATTTGGGGAGGCATATCCGCTGTGTGATACGCTGTACA